TATATATATATATATATATATATATATATATATATATATATATGAGCAATGTGAACAGCCCTCAACGCCGTGACAGAAGATACTACAAAGCAACAAAATTAAAATAAAGCAAAGAAATAAGGATTAATATTTATAAAAGTATAAAAAACATCATAATAATATTCATCTCTATTAAGAAAAGAAATAAAAAGATAAATATAGCGAATAACAGCACCCCCTTAATAACTACGAGGTGTACATACACCGTAAGAAACCCCTTTAAACCCTTAAAACCCTTTTAACCCTTTTAAAACCCTTTCATTTATTTTATTTTACCTTATTCCCCACTAAGACAATAGGTATATTCTCGCAAACCCGCACAATGTCTCTATGCCAGTTTGGGATGTTCCTGTAAGTAATTCGGCTGGTTACATCGAACATCATTATTGCGCATTGTCCCTGATAAACAAACAAACAAAAATATATAAATTAAATTAAATTAATTAAATTAAATTAAATTAATTGAAAGCAATTGAAAGAAACAGCGAAAGGATAAACAAATAAAATAAAAACGAGCATTCAAACGATAAAGAAGACTGCAATACCAACAGCAGCTGCTGCTGCAGCAGCAACAGCAGTTGCTGCAGCAGCAATTGCTGCAGAAGCAGCAGCAATTGCTGCAGCAGCTGCTCCAATTGCTGCTACCGCCCTCACACCCAACAACAAATGGAATCCGCATGCAACCGAAAAACAACAACCCTAAACCCTAAACCCTAAGCCTTATGCCTACCCCTCTAAAAGCCTCAAACCCTAAACCATACATACACCCTCTAAACCCTAAACCACATATACACCCTCTAAACCCTAAACCCTAAACCCTAAACCCTATAATATCCACCTCGTAACCCCCCGAATTACTACTACTATACTAAACCCTAAACCCTAAACCCTAAACCCTAGCCTACCTTGATATAATACCCATCTCTTAAGCCTCCGAATTTTTCTTGTCCTGCTGTATCCCAGACATTAAAAACAATTGGACCGAAGTTTGTAGAAAAACGCAGCGGTCGAACCTCCACGCCTAAGGTGGGTATATACTTCTTCTCGAATTCACCTGCATGCAAACCCTAAACCCTAAACCCTAAACCCTAAACCCTAAACCCTAGACCCTAGATTTAATTAGAATAGTCATCTATATTCAAAGATGTGTTATATATATATATATAGATATATTGTACTACTAATTATATACAAAGTAAAAAGAGAAGAAAAGAGGATAACAGAGACGAAGCACAATTTGAGAGAAAAAAACAAAGAAAAGCAGTGAAGTTCTCTTCTGCATGCACAATTAAATAAATAACACACATAATATATATAATATATAGATATATAAGTATAAACACATATATATATTTATATAACAAGACAAAGAAACTCCTAATGCTCTCTGTGCATGCAAAGCAAAAAAATATATAAAATGGGGGCAGCAACAACAAAGCGAAGAAGAGAAGAACCACCTGTTTTATTTATTTACTTGCATTATATAATTATATATATTTAAATATATATGTGTATATATATATATCTACTACATGCACATCTACTATATATATTATGTTATCTATATATAAAGCGGCTACCCAATAATACAAAGGAGCCGTCATGCATAAATATACATACATATTGAATACTTCTAAATATTATATATCTATTATAATATATATATATATATATATATATGTATACATATATATATATATACATGCATATATATATATATGCGTTATATATGTATTATATACACAGGTGGGAGAGCAGCACAGCAGCAGCACAACTGCTGCGAAACCTCTTCGCTGTTAAACGCTGTTTACGCTCAATAGAAACCCTAAACCCTAAACCCTAAACCCTAGAACCTAATGCTTAAGAAACAGGTACAACAAGCATTGCACCGCATGCATGCAGCTGAACTACTGCAGCAGAAGCAGAAGCAGCAGCAGACGCTGCTGCTTCTGCTGCAGCAGACATGGTGAATAAAGATGCAGCAGGAAGGAGGAGATAAAGAAAAAAGAACAAGAAGAAGCAGCAACAATATCTTCTTTGTTGCTGTTTATACACCACGTAAATGCTGCAGGCAGCAGCAACGAACGAAGAAGAGACAGAAAGGGGGGTGAGGAGACACCCGGATGCCCCCATCAGCAGCAAATAAGAAAAACAAAGAAAAAAACATAAACAAGAATAAACAAAACAAAGAAACCCTAGACGCCCCACAGATGCATCTGCTGCAGCAGCAGCAGCAGATTAGCGCGAGGAAGAAAGGGTTTTACTGGTTTTGTTTTACATGCGCTTCTCCTCTCCTAAATAAATATAAAAAAAGATAAAATACCCTTCTTCTTAAACATTAACAATCAGTACTTACCCGTTAGATGCCTCTTCACCAGCGTTGTCTTCCCAACGCCCCCATCTCCCACCAAAATCAGTTTAAACTCGGGGGCCTGATCCGTCATTTTAGGGTTTAGGGTTTAGGGTTTACGGTTTAGGGTTTAGAGTTTCTGCAAACCGTGTTTCTACTGCTAAAGCCCCAAACAAACAAACAAATCCAAACCAACGCATGAACAGAACAAGTCGCAGCCGCCGCTGCTACTGCTGCTGCTGCTGCTGCTGCTGCTGCAGCTTGCTGCTGCTGCTGCTGCTGCTGCTGCTTTACGGTGTGATTACGGGTTTCATTGCTTACTAGCGCCTCCTTCTGCTCCTTTTAAATTAATTTTATTACTTTTATTGTATTAATTAAACATTTAAAATATATTTTTTCTCCTTCTTTCAATATTATGCACGCTTTCAACCACTGAGACACACTTGGGGCCCTCACTCCACCCTCTACACTCGGGTGTACGTACACCCCAGCCGCTGCTGCTGCCGCTGCTGCTGCTGCAGCACAGCAGCAGCAGCGCTGTTGTTTACTGGTGTTTGTTTTCTGTGTCTTATGTGATGATAAGATGTCTTTAATATATTAATTAGTATTTACTTTTTTATTTATGTATCTACAGTGCCTTATGAGCTCTAGAAGAAGATATTTAAATGCTGTGCTCCTCTGCTAAACCCCGTACAAGACTATGCTGCTGCTGCTTGTATATATATGTGTTGCATATTTATAGTACATTTATATACATATTAAATAGCATATTAAATATATAATATGTAATATATTTTTATTTGTTTTGTTCAGCTATTTACCTGAGGTGTATGTGCAGCTCCGTCTTGCAGTCTTACTGCAAATGTGTTACAATTTAATATGAACTGTACATAAAAAAATATAAATAGTAATATATATCTGTAATGTACATTATCTTGTTACACACTGCAAATACGAAAACTATAAACAATAATATTTAATTTATTGAAAGTACTTGTACTGTGCATTGTACGTATACGCACATATATATATGTATATATATATTGTATATATATGTATATATATATCTATATATATATTATATATATGTATACCCGTATGTTAAAAGCATCTACTTTTAATAAACCATCCCAAGTATACATTTATATATATATCTATATATACGAGCACGTATGCATATGCATACACATCTATAAAATAAATACATAAATAGATACATATGTACATATTTATGCATACATATGCATGTTTAAATATAAAGTTGTGAGTGCATTCTTCATTTGCTTTTACACCCCAATTGTTTGTTTGTCTCTTTTGTTTGTTTTGTTGTCTCATTTATTTATTTATTTATTTATCTCTCTTATTTATTTGTTTTGTTTGTCTACTTCTAATGCACTTATTGTTTATGCATTTAAAATAATAAAGAGAAAATACAACTTAGTGCTGCTGCCTCTCCAGCAAACAAAGGTTTATCAAATAATAACCCGTACTTGCATGCATGCATGCTGCTGCTGCTAGCTGCTGCTAGTTGCTGCTAGCAGCTGCTCGCTGCTGCTAGCAGTCGTCCCGCTATAGTTGCTGCTGCAGTTCTTACTGCAGCTGCTGCTGCAGTTACTGTTGTTGCTGCCGCTGCTGCTGTTGCTACTGCAGCAGCTGCTGCTGCTACTGCAGCTGCTGCTGTTGCTACTGCAGCTGCGGCTGCAGTTACTGTTGCAGCAGCAGCTGCTGCTGCTGCAGGTGCTGCTGTAGCACGGAAGCAGCAGCAGCAGGGATTATATTAATTATTTTTTTTGAAAGTGGGTTCAGCCAAAAGCAGCAAAACAACAGCACAATACAATCAGCACGCACAAACAAAAAGAAAAACAAAAAAGAAAAGAAATAGTAATAATAATAATAATAAGAAGAAGATTAAGAATAAGAATAATAGAAAGAGAAAGAGTAATAAGAATAATAACAATCTGGAGAAGGATAACGAAAATTATATATATATATATATATGTATATATATATGCATATATATATACATATATATAGGCATATATATATATATTTATTTATTTATTTATTTTTTCTTTAAAGAGCCGAAGACAGAGTCAGGAACCCCTCTTTCTTCTACTTGAATATCATCAACATCAATATCCATCTCTTCTTGCTGCCGTTGCTGCTGCGGTGCTGCAGCCCCTCTACTGCTGCTGCTGCTGCTGCTGCTGCTGCTGCGTTTGTTAGCTGCTAGCAGTGCTTCTTGACGAGCTTCAATAAATTCTTGGCCAACTTGTGCTACATCTAAATAGTACCCTAACCCATCTTTACCCTTTTTAAATGCATATCCAACGCGAACACCCTGAAATACAAATAAACAAAAATAAACTAAATTTATCTGCACTCTTCGCACTTACACTCTTGCACGCTTTTTCGTGCATTTCCATATGCATGCGGGATATAATATATATATATATATATATCTACATCTATATATATATATATATATTATATATATATTTATATGTATAGGTACACTGCTACGTATAAGTAATCTATATATATATATATATATATATATATGCTTATTTATGTTTGTTAAATTCACATCTATTTATTTATTTATTTATTTATTTATGCAATGCGACGGAGTCAAAGTGTTTACATTCTTATGTCTGTTGATATAATAAATGCATCCTTATAAGCATAAAACAAACAAAACAATTAAATAAAATAGAGATACACTGCAATTAAATAGATTATATTAAATACATTAAATATATTAAATACAATAGAAAAGAGCAAGGCAGCAGCAGCAGCAACAGCAATAGCAGCAGCAGTAGCAGCAATAGCAGCAGCAACAGCAATCGCAGCAGCAGTAGCAGCAATAGCAGCAGCAGCAGCAGCAGCAGCAGCAATAGCAGCAGCAGCAGCGCTTACAGCAAACGTTTGCTGTGGAATGAAGAGGGGGGCGTCTTGCTGCAATGCTGCTACTGTAGCTGCTTGTCTTCTGCTGCGTTTAATTGCTTCAAACTCTGCTTCTGCTTCTTCTCTTTCTTGCCTTTCTGTTTGCTGCTGCTGCTGCAGTCTGAGCTGCTGCTGCAGGGCCTCCTCTCTCTGTAGGGCTTGCTGTCTCTCCGCATCTTCTTTTGCTAATTGTGCTGCTGCTTCTTTAATCGGGTCCACGGATATAGATTTACCTTCTTCTATTGCTGCTAACTCTGCTACATTATGATGTACTTGGCTGTACTGCGCAATTACGCTGTACATACACCCCAAATACAAACAAATTACATACAATATTACTTCATATATAGCAGCTTCTTTATTTTATTATTTATATTTATATTTATATTTACAGTTGTAGTTATATTTATAATTATATTTATATTTATGTTTATACTTATATTTATATTTAATATCATTTAATATTTATATTTATATTGCATGCATGCAGTGTATATACTAATTTTTAAGTATATATATTGGGGTATGTGCAGTATACTAAATTAGAGGACGCACGGCATGCAGTATATTGTATAATATATTATATAATATATTATATATATATACATGTATTATAAGGCTTATTATAAAATATATATACATATACATATACATATACATATATATATGCACATACATATACATATATATATACATATACATATTCATATACATATACATATACATAATTAAATGTTTAATTTTAATTAATTAATTAATTTAATTTAATTATTATTAGAGGTTTAACTGGGGTCTACCTGCGTTTGATGCGCAGCATATCTTTAAATGTGTCTTCATTGCCGTAAGAGACTTCCAAGTCTCTCCATGCCTACGATAAACAATTAAATAAATTAAATAAATAAATTAAATAAATAAATTAAACAAACAAATAAATAAAATAAATATTTTAAAACGAGAAGAGAGAACAAACAGAGTGCAAACAATAAACAAAGCTTTCATTACGCCACGGTGCTGCCGCAGCAGCTGCAGTTGCTGCTGCTGTTGTTGCTGCTGCTGCTGCAGTCCAGTAGCAACAGCAACAACAAATATACCCCAAACAGCAGCATCAGCAGCAGCGAGAGCAGCACTTGCAGCAGCAGCGCCATGAGCAGCAGCAGCCCAACGAAGAGCCGCAGCAGCAGCAGCAACACAATCAGCAGCAACAGCAGCAGCAGCAGCAGCAGTCCCATCACATGCAAACAAACGCCTCTGCCCTGCTGCACGCGAATGAAACAATAATATACAGCAACAACAACAACAACAACAACAACAATAATAATAATAATAATAAATAATAATAATATTAGTATTAACATTACTATAGCATAACAACAAAGACAAATCAGTGGGTATAAATTGAATTAAACAGTGCATGCACATAAAGACTTACATCCCAAAAGTCTTTATCTTTTGTTGGATTCGCGAGATGAGCGGCATGTGCATAAATAGCGCGAGAGCGATCTACTTCTCCTAAACTCTTCTCTACATATGCGTAGCGCATGCACACCTTACGAACCTAAACAAAACAAAAACAAATATAATCATTTAAATTAATGATTATAATTATAATAATAATAATAATAATTATTATTATTATTATTATTATTATTATGTTGGTGGTAGTGTTGTGCTAGGATTATTTTAATGTAATGCATGCACTCCTAACGTATCGAAGCAAAACAGAAATAATAATCAAAACAAAATAAACAGTAGTAATAATAACTACTATTATTAATTTATTATTAATTTATTATTATTATTAGTGTTGCTTTCAGTGTTATTTTGTTATTATTGCAACGTAACGCACGCACACATTGCACACATACACAATAATAATAATAATTATTATACATATTATCATACTAATTATTATTACTGTTATTATTTTATGATTCTTATGTTTTTATTATTATTTTATTATTTTCGTTATCGTTGAGCGCATGCAAGCGTTAACTAAACAAAACAAAAAAAATCAAACAAAGTAAAAGAAATAAATATTTTAATTATTTTAATAATTTAATGTAATTATAATAAAAATTTAAATTAAAGTGTGAGGCGATTAAAAATAAACAGCAGGATAAGGAATAATAATAAATACAAAATTAATGTAGTAATAGCAATAAATAATTACAATCGTAATAATAATAAATATATAATAAAACAATCAACATAATAATAATTATTATAATTACACTTCAAACAAAACTAAGTAATTACTATTATTAAAATATAATGCACAAAGCACAATAAAAGGAAAAACAGAAAGACAGAAAGAGAGGGAGAAGAAAATAAACAAAAAGATGCAGACTAAGAAAGAAACATAAACACATAACAAACCCTAAACCCTAAACCCTAAACCCTAAACCCTCACGTCCTCTGGAGGTAGGGTTTCAATCGCCTCCTCGAATATCTTGCGGGTTCGCGCAACACCGAAAAGCTCGCTAGTCTAAACACAAACAGCAGCAGCAGCAGCAGCAGCAGCAGCAGCAGCACAAGGTCATTGGCCTCTATTAGACAGACAAAGAAGAAGAAATAAAAGAAGAAACAAGAAGAATAAACATAATCAAAAAATGCATGCATGCATGCACTCGTAGATGTACAGACGCATGCATGCATATATGTATGCATGCAGTACAGATATACCATAAATAGATAAATGCATGCATTAATAGATAAATACATGCATTAATAGATAAATACATGCATGTCTAAATAGATACATCATGCATGCATGCATGCACAGTTATCTATGCATATATAATATGTAATACATATATATATATATATATATATACATATATATATATATATATATATATATATCTTTACATGTGTGCGTGCATACATAAATATATAAACGCATAGATAAATAGATAAACGCATGCATAAATAGATAAATGCATGCATGCATGCATGCATGCATAAATAGAGAAATGCATGCATAAGATGTTCGTATAAGTATAAGCCTCACCCTCGCAATATAGACGAGAAACATATCAAACTTTTCTTCGGGCAGTACAGCTTTAGTTGCTGCACTGTAAATAGCTAATGCATGTTTAGCTAAACCATAGTTTTCTTCTAACTTAGCATAAAGAAGAAAGATGTTTTTTGCGTATTTCTTAGGGATATTTGCAGTAGCTTGTTGAAATAACTCTCGAGCTCTCTCTAATTTACTGCTTCTATATCGACTAACAAACTTTGTCAAATACATCAACCATAAAGAATTTAAATGAGGCCAATGAAATGCAGCAATCCCTCGTTCATACACTCGAAAAGATTCTTCATAATATCGGCGCTCCTGAGAACATAACAAAAAAAATAATTAATTACAATGTTGTATATAATTACAGCGTTGTTATTTAACTTAATATGCAATCATAGTAATGGAGTTTATTATATAATTATAGTAATTTAATTTAATATATAACAACACCATAGTAAAATAATTTAATATATAATTATATTATTAAATAATTAAAATATTTATTAATTTATACTGGAGGCGTTTCTAAAGAAATACAGCAAATAAATCATTAAAATAAATATAATAGCGTGCATAATAACAATATATTACTTAAATTAAATATATAATAATATCATAGTAACTTAATTAAATATGTAATAATAATTAAATTTACACGCGAGAAGACTCTTCATAGTAGCTGCAACATAGATAGATCGATAGATAACTAATAAAATAAATAAATAAATAAATAAATAAATAGTAAATAATAATAAACAAATAAATTAATAAATACCTCCAAGTAATGTGCGTAGTTGATGACGAGCTGAGGAGTTATTACTTTTAATTGAAACATCTTATCATAACATGCGCGCACAGTGTCTATTGACCCGAACATCTCTTCCTGCAGCAGTAAAAAATATAAATATAAATATAAATATAAATATAAATATAAATACATCAATAGATATAAATACAAGCACATAAATATGAATGTATTAACATTAAAACATAGATGAATATATATATATATATATTATATATGTATATATATATATATTCACATATATACGGGAGCTGAGTATTAAGTCAATCAACTGCATTTCAGGTGTACGTACACCTCAAATCTCCTTAATGCAAAATACATACAAATTTAATGATAGTCTGATTCATTCTCTGTCTCTCTGAGTGCTCTCTCTCTCTGTATATATATATGTATATATATATATGTGCATATAAACACATGAATATACAACCATATAC